CAGTATTAGTCCTAGTTGACTTCTCTAATGCCTTTAATACCGTCAATCACGAAATCCTGTTATCTATCCTATCCCATCTTATGGTTCCTTCTGAGACACTGGAATGGTTCTCCACCTATCTTCAGGGGCGACAGCAATGTGTTCGTGTTGATGACTTATCATCAAGTTGGTGCGACCTCCACGCTGGCGTCCCACAAGGCGGAATTTTATCTCCTCTCTTATTCTCTATATTTATTAACCTCGTAACTCAACATCTTCAGTGTGCGTATCACCTGTATGCTGATGATCTGCAGCTGTACTCACAGGCAAGGGTAGAGGACGTAACGCGGGCTATTGACGAGGTCAATCGGGACCTGGAGGTCATAGAATCCTTTTCGATGAGATTTGGACTGTCAGTTAATCCGACCAAATGTCAGGCAATCATAACAGGCAGCAAACGGATTATGAGCAGATTGGATACTGCCTCTATCCCACCGGTCGTCTACAATGGTTTAATTATTCCATTCAGCCCGGTAGTCAAAGACCTGGGCTTACTTATCGATTCATCCCTCGATTGGCGAGCTCAAATTACTAGCGTGAGCCAGAAAGTAACTGGCAATTTGCGAACATTGTATCGTCTCAAGAATTTCCTACCGCCTAAAACCAAAGTTACGCTCATGCAGTCCTTAATAATGCCAATAATTGACTATGGTGATGTGTGTTATTTCGACCTGAATGCAGACCTTCTAAATAAGCTTGACCGTCTTCTCAATAACTGCATTCGATACATCTTCAATCTTCGGAAGTATGACCATGTGTCTGCTTTGCGTTCCCAATTAAACTGGTTACCTATTCGCCTCCGCCGCAAACAGCGTGCACTTACCTCTCTATTTGCATTTCTCAATTCACCGTCCTCACCTACTTACCTTGCTCCCTACTTATGTTACCTGTCTAGCAATCATGTCAGAAATCTTCGCTCAGATAACAATCTGCTTCTCTTATGTCCCTCTCACAACTCCGACTTCGTGAACTCTTCGTTCTTTGTTCAAGCAGTACTACTCTGGAATGCGCTCCCGCTCGAAATCAGGATGTCCACAAACCGCTTTATATTCAAAAAGAAGGTACATGCTCTCCTTCTTAAAGAAATGGCAGAACGGTCTAATCCATAGTTAAGTATACCTCAAATTCAGGTTTTCATAGTGTACGAATATGATATGTCTATGTATCTATATAAATATACTTGTATATATATGTATGTGTATCTTTGCGTATTTATGATGTGTAAGTGTAGTATGTGTGTATATGTTTATATATGTAGTGAACCGTATATATTTTCATTGTACATTTGATATTATGATATAACCTCTGTGCACCTACCTGACAAGATTTCTACATCACCCAAAGGTTGACTGGAAGAGAATGCCCTGGGCATTAAGTCCGCCGATGTACAAAAGTGCATAAAGATGAATAAAAAAAAAAAATAAATAAATAAATAAATGTAGTGCAGGGAGCCCTGCGGCACGATTGACCGACGATTTGAGGAAGATGGCTAGCAGCAAATAGCTTCGGACTGCCAAAGACCAGGATGGTTGGCTACCGCCTGTATCGTCCACAAACAATAGCCCATGTAAGATTATGATAAAATTAATATAATATATCTCACATAATAAATCTCACACATCACACACGGCCATCTGATCCCAAACTAGACAGAGCCTGTACTATGGTAACCAGACTGCTAATAAACATTCTTATATTTTTAAATAGATACATATTATAGATAAATAACACCCAGACACAGAACAAATGACCATGCTCATCACACAATAATTGTCCTGGGTGGAAATCGAACCCACTAACCCTGGTTCACTAACCACTAGACCCACAGGCCCGTCAAATTCATACATCTTATATCATAAATGTAGTCTTTAGTACAATTAATGTAATAGAATGCGGTATATCTTACGGATGACATCTAGGGTGGTTTAACTAGTGTGTATTTCCATGAGTTTTGGTGATTCTGCCATACACACTTTACATGCTATAGAAAGAATAGCTCTTTTAGGACCCATAATATTTTGGGCTTCCCTGTTTAAAAAGGTATGTGCCAATTTTTTACTTCATGTTATCTCCCGCTTTGCTAACGATTTGTGTATTTATTATATTTCTGACTCCTCCAATTTTCTTCTGTTTAATATCATTGATTAATTTCATTGTGGGTTCCAAGACAGTTCAATTTTTCCTTGAACTTCCCGAGTGTCATGTGTGTGAGGTGTGTTGGTAGGTCACCGCTATTGATCCTTGTGTACAGGAGTTATAGTGATGGGTGTCTGGGATGGATAGGGCCCATATCATGAAAACAAAAGATTTTTTTATCCAACTAAGGAGAGTCCCTTTTTATACAGGTTTTTGTTTGGACCACCCTACGTAATTTAACACCCTATGATTCTCCCCCTCTCTTATTAAGTAGAGGAATGGGTACTATTTCTCTGCAAGACAAAGAGAAGGGGCCATTCTTGCCAGAAGGCTACAAACCGTTGAAGCTGTGTCGAGTTGGTTCCTGAGTAGTAAGTGACAGCTGTATAGACGGCAGAGAGATGCTTTTCTTAACTTAGCCAGGCTTGAGTAGTCGCTATAGACATGTGGCAACTCTGTAGAGGCCAAAGATCCTAGCTGGTTGAGACTTGAGTACCGCTTATTGCCACAGGATAGGATGGTGGCAATGACCATGCTATTGGCTTATCTTGGCTAGATAAAGTTTGTTAACTCTTGATATTCTTTATTGTATCAATATATTGTTACAAACTGCCCCATAAAAATTGTTGCTACTGAAAAAAATTATCTCATCCTAATATTTTAAAAATCATTTACATATACATTTTTAGTCCATAGTAATTTTAAGATTTTTTATAAGTAATAAAACTGTCATTATCTTTTTAACAAAGAACAAGAAATATAACTTTGAGGAGAACAGCATAAGTAAAGTATTAAAATGGTGTTAAAATGGCATCCAAATAATTGGGGAAGAAAATCAATTTGTAAACAAGCTGAGAACTTTCTGTTCTCAATCCCTGTAATCACAGTCACACACACATCACATCACATCAACAGCCTTTAATAGTCCGCTGCTGGACATAGGCCTGTCCTTAAAAAAGAGGTTTTGGCCTACTATACCCACAGGCCAGATAGATTGGTATAGGGTTTCGTTAGTAACCGCTTAAAGGATACTTTTTTCTATGTTTTGTGTCAGTTTTGCTCCTCACCACCACCACAATGAAGCTAGTAATAAATAATAATATGCTTTTTATTTACCTTAAGAAACATCACCAACTCATGTTTAGGTATGTATGGCATTAATTATTAAAGAATAACATGTTTGTACGAAGCCGGCTACGAAGCCGCCACCATGTCCGTCCAAGTACAGAATCAGCAAACAAGGCCCGTACCATTGCATCGAGGAGTGAGACAAGGGGACGTTATTTCCCCGAAATTGTTCACAAATGCAATGGAGGACATGTTCAAGACGCTGCACTGGAAAGGGCGTGGCATCAATATCAATGGCGAATACATCTCTCACTTGCGATTTGCAAATGACATCGTCATCATGGCAGAGACGTTGCAGGACCTACAGCAAATGCTGAATGACTTAGCTGACACTTCTGTACGCATCGGCCTACGGATGAACTTGGATAAAACCAAGGTCATGTTCAACAAACATGTACTACCGGAACCGATTGCGGTACACGGTGCCGCTCTCGAAGTTGTTCAAAATTATGTGTACCTCGGGCAGACATTGCAGTTAGGTAGAAACAACTTCGAGGACGAGGTGAACAGAAGAATTCGGTTGGGTTGGGCAGCGTTTGGGTAGCTACGTCGAGTCTTCTCATCGTCGATCCCACAGTGCCTTAAGACGAAAGTCTTTAATGAGTGCGTCCTACCCGTCATGACATACGGAGCTGAAACGTGGACACTTACGGTACGGCTGGTCCACAAGTTCAAAGTCGCTCAACGTGCTATGGAAAGGGCTATGCTCGGCGTTTCTCTAAGGGATCGCATCAGAAATGAGGTGATCCGGCAGAGAACTAAGGTCACCGACATAGCGTACCGGATCAGCAAGTTGAAGTGGCAGTGGGCTGGCCATATTAGCCGCAGAACCGATAACCGTTGGGGAAAACGAGTTCTTGAGTGGAGACCGCGTCTCGGCAAACGTAGTGTAGGACGCCCACAGGCCAGGTGGAGTGACGATTTGCGCAAGATGGCTGGCAGGAGCTGGATGCGAGAAGCCCAAAATCGATCTAAGTGGCGTGCAATGGGAGAGGCCTATGTCCAACAGTGGACTGCGATAGGCTGATGATGATGATGTTTGTAGTGATTATAGGGGCCGTCTTGAGACCCTGACAAGCATAAGCTATTGCAGTTACTCACACACACATCCACATTAACAATATATCTTGTCAGGTCGTACCATCTTTCCTTTTCAAAATTCACCCAAATTTCCCAAATTGTGACAAAGGGTTTGCTCTATTGTGTAGGTAGGTAATTAAAGATGGCAACATGTGTCTCACACGCTTCTGCCTACCCCTTTGTTAATACATAAGATAGTTTATGCATGTAAATGTGAATTTCTAGCAAGCAAACATAGTAATTATTGTATGCACTTAGAAAAGACCTTCTGGAAGCATGATTTTTACCACCATATAGGAATGCTACTATATGTAGCAACAAACAGCTACTTTTGTTGAGATATGTTATTATTAAAAAAATGCATAAACAGATTAAATCCTACTCTTCAACTCTAAATAATGTTGAATTCATTTTCGTTTTAATATCATTCACATAAACCATGTGCATATTTTCATTTTAACATAATAATTAACAATCAGGTAGGTAGTGTAACTGTTATTTTACAAGCTTTTATGACTTGGTAGTGAGCATGTCCTCCTTTGGCAAGTGGAGACAAGAATGTCACTGATGTCCTTAAATCTTTAACAAATCGTTAACAAAAACCAGTTAAAACTTACTGACATAATTTACATCATCGCTGCAACAATTATGACCTTGCTGCCGAAAATCCCCAATGACTCCATCCGTCATGAGTCAATTTTATAACACACAAGTTCACAGTACAAAATGAAATATGAATTACACATACTACAAACACACGTAACTAATATTTAATAGCACGAAATAATACTCTAGTATACTTAAAAGTTCACCATTAATATATAATTTTAATTTTCTCATTCCCGTGCACTCTCTATTCGTTCTGTTTTTTTTAGGTTCAAGCAACTAGCAAGATAGGTTGGAGCAAAAATATCGATATACCGAAATTCAGCACTTAATTCATAATATTCGATTTCATAATTCGATTTTAATTTTTACAGTTTCTATCTATTTCCGATATCTATTTTTAAGCTTCAAATCGAAATAATTTCAAATATTCACAACACAACAAAAGGAGATTAATTCTTTAAGAGAGATTTGATTGAGATTTTTGAGAAAATGATGTGTAATTTTCTAAGTTTTTTGAGTCATATCAATAATGAATGTGAAATGTAACAATAAATTTTGGTAATCTTGAAAAAATAAAATCTCCTCAACAGGCGTCCATGGGCGGCGGTGGTGACTTTCCATCAGGTTGCCCCCCTCTGCCATAAAAATCTTAATTTGATTGAGAGTTAAGCAAAATATTAGAAGCCTGTGTTTCTGTAAATTGTATAGTAAACTTGGGTCCAAATTACCATTATATAAAACAGCCTTAATAATTTTATCAAAGCTACATTTCTTAAAAAAGTTAGATCTCTTTTATAGCTACTGTATTAGTATAAACTATAAGCATATACTTTAAAGTACAGTATACTCATACACTATAAGTGTATACTGTCGATCGAACTGTTTTTAAGCAGGCGTATGATTTTTGTAAAAATATCTAATTTTAGATTCGTTTTATCAAAATTTTACAGGACTGTTTTTAAATAATTCACTATACTATCATCATCATCATCAACAGCCTTTGCTATTCCACTGCAGGACATAGGCCTCTCCTTCGAAAGGAGGTTTTGACCTAGTATACCACGATGGCCAGACGGGTTGGTATAGTAGGCCAAAACCTCCTATATCTATATTATAAGAACCATAAACTTTTGTAATACGTTGTTAATTAATAATCAGATTAAATAAAAAAACAAATATAATATAATATTTTTCTCTTTAAAATAGTGAGTTGGGATTGATAAAATCGATAGAATATTTTCGCTATCTCTTGGCATCCCTAGTTCTTGTACCAATGTTACCAAACCCAAAAAAAAAATTTTTACAGGCAAAGTCAAATACAAAATTGCACCAATCGGGCAATCGGATCAATACAGACTACAAAGTTTTAATTCAGAAAACTCAAACTCAAATATCTTTATTTAAAAAAAAATGAAAATTATGTGAAATCGTCTCTTGTGTAGACTCTAAAGCCATATATCAACACACACAATAGCAAATATCTCTGTTTTGTTAAATATTCAGATAACTAAATATATACTTATCGAAAATCTCTTATATGATTGTGCCAATCTACAACCGCCCATTTCCGAGGGGTTGAGGTCTTCATGAGAAGAAAAGGCAAACAAACTCACGACCATTCTTTTCAATCAACAGATAACAATGGCATAATTAAACATACACAACACTGTTTTGATGTGTGCCAGTATGTTAGTTTTGAGAACTAAAAGGTAAAAACGAAAACAAGATATAGAAAAAGATGGAATAAAATAGAAAGTGAAGTAAAACATAAAAAAATGGAAAATTAAATAAAAACACACTAGCCCACATCACATTTCCACTACGAAATAGCCTGTGCTAAATTAATCCCAAGCATTCTTGTCTTCTATGTTATCCACAATTGAGTAATAGGCTCTCTGACACAGTTTACGTTTTATTGTGAATTTAATTCTGTTTATACTAAAATCATGAATCCTATTCGGGATTTTATTTTAGAATCGGACACATTGACCTCGAGCTAAGAGGCAGGTACAACAAGTTTATTTCTATTTCTGGTATTAAAAGCATTTACAGCACTTTTTTTTAAGAAGCCATCTTTGTTTTTATGAACATATATTACATTTTCATATATATATTGATTTGCCACTGTCATTATATTAATTTCTTTAAATTTTTGCCTCAATGAACAACGATTGCCTAAATTATAAATTGCTCATATCGCTCTCTTTGGCAGCACAAAAATAGTTTCAATGTCGGCAGCATTCCCCCACAGTCGAATACCGTACGACATTATGCTATGAAAATAACTGAAGTAAATAAGTCGTGCTGCATCGATATCAGTCAATTCTCAAATTTTTCTAACTGCGTACGCTGCTTGGCTCCACTGTAGCTTAGAATCTAATGTTATTCCTAAAAATGTCGTGGTATCCAAAAGGATTAGCTCGACATCCTTAATCATCACAGTGGTTTTCACTGGCTTGACGTTGGGCGTGGTTTTTTTAAATTCAAAAGCAAATTGATAACGTCATACCAATGAACCACTTTCGAAATGGCGCTGTTTACGTTTGTACGAATTAGTGAGTGAGTCTAAATAACAGTGAAGTATCATCTGCAAACAAAACAATCTCATGATAATCATGAGACAAGGTGAGGCAAGTCGTTAATATATACTAAAAACAAAAATGGGCCTTTAATAGAACCTTGTGGAAGGCCCATTTCTACCATAGTACCCGAAGATCAAAGTAGTTTATACGGATCTAGCCTTCTAGTCTGGATGGATACTAGATAACCGACTGGTAAATCATTGCCTTGCATCGTTTCACCTCAAACATTCTAAGCCGTCTTTGGGTAGACTGGGGTCTGTGTTTTTGACCTGGGTTGGTAGTTCTTGGGTGGTATTTGTTTTCTAAAATATACCTACAGCAAGTATAAAGGGAATAAAAATTCATTAATCTGTTGAAATATTTAATTTACAGCTTTAACAAACTTACTTTAACAAGATTAAGTAATCAACGTTCTACTTCTCACATTTTCATAAATTGTGTTCACTTTTTGATTTTACATGAGCGTGTAATTTACTTCAATGTTAATTATTCCTTTCACTTAAATATCCAGTATTTTAATTCGAACAATAAGATAGTTATAAAAGTCATAAATATTAGAACTATACATATTGTACCTAAACACATAATTAAAAGGATACCTGAAAGAAAAGAATATTTGTTAAGACAATTCAAGATTATCGTGGACACAAATTCAGAGTTATTAGAAATTAATTTATTTCAATTAATAGTTAAACACATTAATTCATAATCATTAATAATATTTGAAGTCTTTGTTATATTGCATAATTTACGATTTGTGTTAACTGAATGTTTCACACTCTTTTGTTTTATTATTCGTCCTAGTAGGTTGTAGCACTCTGGTTATTTTATGTTTCTTGGTCATTCTCACTGATCTAAACTAAATACTTATTCTTATTTGAGTTTCAGGTGGTAAAAACGGTAGGTATAATTATATACCCATGTGACCGCCAATATTTTTACATTTATTGTATCTTACAGTATCGCAGATGGGTCGCATAGTGGGCATAATTATTATTTTTTGTGACTATATATCATTTTATTTTATGACAGTTGCGAGTACGAGAATTGCTCGTAACTGAATTTTGACCGAAGTTTTATTACTAGAATTGGCCTTCTGTTTTGTCCGGCCATTCACTAATAACTAAATAACGTAATAGTTTTAGTAAGTTTAAGTTTTTAATAATATTTTCCTGAATCACACCTAGAAGGTGTGATTAACATGTGTGAAGGCAAGTAATACAACATTATTTTATATTTATTAGTTTAAAAATTGAATAATGGTATATTTTTATTATACGATCTGGCGGTAAAAGTAATATATACGAAAAAAAACTTACCTTCAATTAGAAGTATTATTATAACGAAAAAACATACCACAATTATTGCAATAAACGCAACAAATAACGCCGTCAAAATTGATAACCCAAATGCAAAGCAAATTAATGTAGTTAACAAAGGTTTACCCAAAAAATAAAATATTACAGTATGTGAAAATTTTACAGTGGATTCAGTTATTTTATGGTACTTGACCAAGCAAGGCTCTGAAAAAAAGTAGATAAAAATGAACATTTGCAAAACTTAACCATTTTTAGATTATGTAGGCAAATATTTAAAGTTATTAAATTATGAAGGCTTTTCAAATTTCAAGTCAGTATAAATTTTAGGAATTATAAGTGGTATTCTAATAAACTCACCGTAGGACAGCTTAACTGCATTTATAAAAGCATTATCTATGTTAATTTCCATTGTAAATGTTTAATAGATATCAAGTTGTTTCACGTCTAGTGCTAAATTTAAATTAGGTATACCCACTGTACGTAAATACTAGCTTACGAAATCAGTAATTTTTTATCTAAGTAAATTTAAGGTACACAAGTCGTTTAAAAAATATTCCAAGAGCCAAGACATTTTGCAATACTTTTTTATTAATCAATTATAATTATTTGCCATATTAAGTCAAATAAATAAAAGGAATTTTTATGTGTAATTTATTCCTAATTTGTAGTTCAAAGTACCTTTAACAGTGGAATTCAAAAGTTAAATTTATTTTCTATTCTGCTACAATGTAAAATTGTGTTAAGGAAACGGGATTTTTGTTAACAATTTTTAATGGCTACACCAGTGTCATTTTTTAATTATTAATCTGTAGCCGCGTTTCGATTGGTTTTTTAGTTCGCGCCTTAATTTGACATTTGAAATAACACCACACAAGATCATAAAGAGCACTTTTTATTTTCTTTAATAAAACATTAGTCTTTTGCTGTGGAATGAGTATCTGTTTCAGATTTATTGTTTAATAATACCAGGCATTGCTCGATATTATTTGCTAAACGCCTATCACAATGGTAAGTGCTTTTGTGTTCAAGTAGTTAATTGACAAACATTTTTTTTAAATAATGTACTAGATGACCATTACTTAATGTTTTTTAATTGTAGGTTGGACAGCACGATGAAAATATGTTATCTGATATGTTGCCTATATATTACAGTAGGCTTTTTCCACAAAATGTTTTTTGTAGATGGCTCAGTTGTGGGAGCGCACCGCAGCCACTCTCAAACAGAGAGTTGTCATTTACTCTAGCTGATGATGTTTATTTGCGTTATTTATCTATCAGTAATCAAAAAGAATTGCAAACATTGCTACAAAAGAAATGTCCACATAAGTTGGATATTGGTGCAGTGTATAACACCAAGTAAGTACGAAAGGCTTCATAGCATTGGCATGCCAAACACCTACGTAGCCTAATTAAAGATGTAAAAGGATTATCAAATTACTAAAAGTCAAAAAAGAAATGATAATATAAATTATCCTCATTTCTAAAAGATTTTGCACCAGATAGTTGTGATAATGACTTTATTCATTGCATGAAGTGTATCCAAGCAATGAAAAATATTTAAAACAATTTGTAAGTTTTCTTGACTTAGTATCTGGTGTTAAAGATCCAATTTGTTAACTCTCCCAATGTAGTTCTTAAATTGAAAGTACTGTACCATAAAGCTTAGAGACAATAATATTAGGTTCACATCTCACATATGGCTCTCTGATTCCAAAAAAAGACACAGCTAGTACTACACACTACTAGACAACTGAACTTGTAATAAAATGTATCTACATAATGTTGACATGAAATGTTATTAAGCATAAAAATTCTAAAATATATAATCTGTCACCTAATGTATTAGTCTGACAAATAAATTTATCTTTAACTAGCTTATACCCGCCACTTAGTTCATGTGGAATTTGAAAAGCGCTGCCTTAGTTTGTTTGATTCCCAGACCGGGCAAAATTTAAAGGGGTTTTCTGAGAGGAAAAATAGTCGAGTTACTCCTTACATAGACAGCTACCTGGTAGTAAAATATTAAAATCAGTCCAGCCATTTAGAAGATTACCCAGAACAAACAGACAGACAAAAAAATAAACATTTAAACTGGTTTTTAGGTATAGGTATGGTGCAAATAATTGCCTATTATTTTCACATTAATCATTAAGTACAATGTAATGAGTGTATTATAACATTTTTTAATCTCAACTATGTATTGTCTTACAGACCTTCTGTGGGGCGCCATGATGCAGTAGTGTTAGCAAGAGAACTCGTGTTTGATATAGATCTTACAGATTATGATGAAATAAGAACATGCTGTCAAGAAGCTAAAGTTTGTGAGAAATGTTGGATGTTTATGGTGATTGCTTGTGAAATTATTGATAAAGCACTGAAAGGTATTCATTTTGAAGTCTCTACTTTATCATATTATAGTCACTAAGTACACAATTTATTTATCATTGAATATTGTGTACTACTACTATACCTACTTAAATATGTATGTGTCTGCCAAGTATTGGCAACATCATGTACATTAACAATTATTTATTTATTCTATCCTATCCTTTTAGCTAAGCTAGAAAAGGTTGGTGAATGTGGCTTACCAATTTCTTGAAAGCTACCTAGTGTATTTACTACTGTATTTGGTTTACTACTAGTGTATTTATTATTGGGACAATCTGTCATTCAATACTGCATCACAGTATGAGGAGGCGCTGCCAAAACAAATCTCATGGCGCTGGAGAGGGCAAAAAGAACTTTGCTCAAAGTGTTATCCAAAAAAACCCTACAGGTATCACACGGGAAAATTATACTCTGACAACAACATACTTACTCTATGCTAGCTCTTTGTCCATCAACAGGTTCTATGGAAACTTTTTCAGCAACAGCCTATCATCCACAAACTTTCTTGCAAAACGGTATTTGGGGGACGGCAATACTATAGGCAATCTGTAATATATTTAACCACATAAATAAAAAAAATAAACATTTCCAGTCAAAATAGTTACAAAGTTGAACATAGAGTACGCGAATGGCTCCAGCAACTTAATTACAAATGACGTAGGACCTATTTACCTACACTACATAACAGCTAAATCTCACCTTATCACTTAACTAATTTAGACTGATTACCTACACATACACATCCACACGAACTCACACTCATACACAAACTTTCTTATGCTATTGCTATTATTCTTATGTGTGCACAACATGCACCACTGTCACTCATTCACACTACACATCTACAAACACACCCATACTCACACAAAACACTCACTCACAATGAAATCAAAATGGATGTCTACTATTAATTGGCAACAAAAATGAAACATAGTGTATAAATTGTAAAATTAATGTTAATATACTCACCTATACCCAATGTACAGTAACATTCATGACTGATTTTAAATACTATTGTGTATAAACTTCCACAACCAGACACTGTCAGCCAAAATACAGCCGTTTGCCTAGTTTGGTTAACAGTGTACCTAGTACAGGGCATTCTCTACAGTAGTCAACCTTTGGGTGATCTGGAGAAAACTAATGTTGATGTTGTGAACAGTTCAGTATTTCTTTGTTGCTGTTTGTTAGTTATTTTAAACTTATGATTGCCCATGAATTTTAAAGCAACAATAACATTTGTATAGTATTGGATTTTGCAAATAATGAAGTAATAAATCAACATAATAAAAAACATAAATTTTCCATATTGTATTTTCAGAGGACTTCGGTTTCCAGAGCATATTGTGGGTGTTTTCTGGCAGGAGAGGTATTCATTGCTGGGTTTCAGACCATGAGGCCAGAACACTGGACAGTCCTGGCAGAGGTGCAGTAGCTGACTACTTATGTCTCATCACAGGAGGAGATAATCAAAATAAAAAAGTACATTTGGGTAGTGATAATCTGCATTCAAGTATCAGGTAAAAACTAAATATACTTATACTAACCTCATGCCAATCACTATACATATAGTTTTTAATTTCAGGCCACAAATTACTGTAACTTAAACTGTTATAGTCTGAATCTAAAGTAGTTAGTTTGTTAGTTAGTTCTATGTAGGTATAATATGTATGTATGTGTATTTACAAAAAAATATATATATATATATATATATAAGTATTCTTACAGTCAATCTAAGTTTCATAGTAGAAGCTTTGCTTAGTTTGAAACTAGATGATGTTGTGTGTCAGATGTCCGAAAATATTATTACTAATTTGACTAATTATCATAAAAGCATTTACACGTTTTTTTTTTTTTTTTTTTTCAAAGTTTATTTGCTATATTACAGATGGAATAGTTTTCATTGAATCGTGTACATTCTGCCTTATAATTAAGCATGCAAAAATCTATAAAATTAGGGTAGATACAAATTAAATTAAATCTGTAATGGATAAGTACAAAGAAGAAAAAAAAAAACTAACAATTAATATTTTAGATGTCAATGGATGTTATCATGGATATGGACAACTAGTGTGTCATAATTCTAAGGATTGTAATATTAAATACTTATAACAGGAAAGAATAAAATTAGCATTTGTTTTGTTGATAACACTAAGCTTGTCACGAGCTACTGAACAAAATAAAAATAATTTGAAATTAGGTCACAAAAATATATTCTAACTGTACTGTGTTGACCTAATAGAAATAGTGAAAAAAAAAACTTCTGGAAAATGAAAATGAGATAAAGATAATATAATAATATTTATCTTTATCTTTATAAAATGACATTCCAAAAATAATTTCTCTGCAGTTTATTTTTTCACACTAATAACTTCGTATCTTTCTGATTTCAGACGGGCGCTTAATATTATTGATAAATATTTTGAACAGTTGTTGCAAGATCAAGGATTCTTCAGTACTCCAGAAAGACTAGAGAAGCTTTCAAAAATGATACCTGATGAAGCATTAAGATCTCAAGTTCAAAAAAACCTAGACAGTATGTCAGATAATTCACTTGATAGATGGAAAACATTTATAAACACATATGAAAATTACTGTAGAGAGGTTTGTATAATTAGAGTTTCGTAACAAATTACATTAAAATATGATCCTCATTTTGTTGTGTGAGAGGCTCCCTCAACTTATAGACCTGGCATAATAGGCACGCTCTTGCGCTGCGCCTATTTTTCCATGATTATTTTCTTAAATGTATATTAATATACATATAAATCATTAGGAGAATATATATGTAAGAATTAATCTTTAAATATCCCCCTGTATCCTGGTATGCCTTGAACTTAACTGGACTACTGCACCGATTCTTAAATTTTTCGTGTGTCACAATTGGGCACTGTAATTTCACAATTAAACCTGGTCGTTCTAGATCAAAATATTTCACTTTTATGGGAGGGAGTTATATGGTTTCGTTTCACGATTGGTGGGAGCGCCACCTACCGGGTTGTTGACGGAGCACTCTTCAAGAACCGACCAGGTTCTAGAAATTATATTCTGTTGTTTGAACAGTTTTACTGCTTTTTTTTGGATTTTACTTTATTCTTATTTTGTCAAAAGCAGTTATGGCACCTATAATTATATATTACGTTCGGGCGGGTCAATGTCTGCTGAACCCGCAAGTTTTTATGTAATTTTTCTTCACTAAGGACTATTTTGTGTATTCTTTTAAGCTAAATCACCCTATGAAACGTTTTTTTAGACAGGAATCAATGTCAGAAAAATAAGATACCTTGTTGAAGAAATTAAAATACAATATTGTTACCCTAGACTCGATGTGAACGTAACTAAAGGTTTCAACCACTTGCTCAAGTCACCATTCAGTATACATCCTAAAACTGGAAAAGTTTCAGTGGTATTCAAACCAAGCAATGCAAAGAATATTAAACTAGATGAAATACCTTCAATCCATAGTCTTTTGGATGATAGTTCCCCTGACAATGCACAACATCAAGCAAACATGAGAACAGCTGTTAAAAATTTTCAAGAAGTTGTATTTTCTTTGGAAAAATTGGAAGCAATTAGGAAAAAAAATGATGCCAGTAAGTACGAAATTGATTAATATATAAACAGCCGAATTTTGATATTCTTTCTTATAATTATAATCTTAAAATCAATATTATTATATGATATTTATTATATATATAAAAATATATGGTATTTTTATCCAATTAGCTACTTTGTTCAGACAGTTGCGCCCTGGACACTTTTATCCAGTTCACTTATCTTGTACACTAAAAAACAAGAAACAATAGAATTATATAAAGTATTAAATGGTAAATTATCATGTAAGTTAATTCCTGGCATTTGGTTTATTTCGCATTAAGGAAGGAATATTTATAGGATCCTCAAAAAAGTATGGAGATGCTACAACGCTGAAATGATAGTTTTATTGTATTCGTTGTTTATTTAGATTAATCATATCAAAGTCACATTACATAACAATAGTAGCATTCTGGAAATATCTTATGTTAGTTGTCAAAATTATTAGGTATTAAATTAAATTTTCTGTTGAAGTAAACAAAACTTCTGTGTGCGGCAGCAGTAGCATAACCGGTTTACACCAGTAAACGCCACGCGCTAGTTGCGTCACCTATCCATGTGTCATCCTTTAGCATATTTCTTTACAAGAACCATCATTGATACATACAAATGTCCAAACTCTTATAATGCATTAGTATGCACTTAAATGATTGACTTTCTTTTTAATTAGTTATCTATCAGTTAGGTTCTTTTGAGATGTTTTAGGTACATAGAATTATCTTTTCGTTTCAGATGTTTCACTAGAGTTTTGAGTATTATATCTTCAAAATAAATCTCAAGCCCTGGAGAAAGCAAAGATTTTTTTAAACTACATCATTGTCATTTAAATTTAGGAAGACTGTAAAGAGGAATTCATAAAGTATCTAATAAATCATTGTTGTTACTCCGTTCTTTAAATTTTCTTCTCTGTTACCACCCTCCATACACTACGCTCGCTAAAATCAGCAAACTGTAGTCAATTAGATGTTGTGGAATCAATTAAATACCTTTAATAATAGATTTAATAGGAAGCCCCCAAGTAGATATAGTGTAATAGATTACGATCGACGCTTAATAAATTCTACAAACTTAAGCAAGTAATATATAGAAAAACATTGCTAGCTGAGTTACTGGTATGGGTTAACCTACCTATGACTTAACATTTTAAACATATTCATTGGAAATAAAAATAGTTTTTTTTTTGTAAAATTAAGGATAAATATAAAGAGGATTATAATAAGTTATTTACTGAGTGTAGATATGTAAAAGTTAATTAGGTACTTAATAGCTTTGAAAACATAATACGCAATAGTACAGAGGGCTTATTGGTGAAGATTTCAGCGCGGGCCAATCACAGCGCCGAACGCGGTCACTGTGACGAGCGAGTTGATGTGAAATAACCTTGCACTAGGCTTTTTGTACTATCTGGCGGGTGTAGTGTGTGTGTGAGTGAAGCTGTAATGCTCCAAAAAGAGACCGCTGAACGGGATGGGGAGAGGTCCGATCCCAAGTGAAGAAGAAGTCAGCGGCGGTATGACCCGCCGACGGGACCGCGGGCCGCCAGAAAGTGGGCAGCTCTGGTGGCAGATTGATTACTGCGGTAAAGGACATTTTGGCGGCCTGATTGCACCAAAATGCGATCGGGCCGCAAGACTGTGATAGGCGGACGAAAGCCTTCGGCTTCCCTCAGGATAGAGCCTAGTAGGTGCGGCGTCGATCCGAGGGGGACCTGAAATCACATGGTACGGATCCTTCCCAGGGTAGGGCGCCCGAGGCCGGCCGTTGTTGGTGGTTTAGTGGAAACACCACAGACTCCTGGCTCCTACATCCACTAGGAGCCGGAGATCGGAAGAGATTTTCCATACACATACATACAAGTACAGTGTTAGAGAGGTGATAAAGGGCAAGCTAATGCAAAATAAAGTTACCAACTATTTTGGTGAGAGAACTCGAAAATATTTTATGCCACAACTGTAATACTATATAATAGATATCCGATGTTGAGACAGTGAAAAAATTAAATGCAAAATGACGCTAAAAATGTTATTAAGAAACTAATGGTTTCTTAATAACTTGATATATAGGACTTTTATTGTCTATAAAATTGATAGGCTAGAAACGGTGTCTAAAATTATAAAAGTTTGTTTAATAATCATTTTATCTATATTTTATTTTTTCTGCCTAATAACTGTAATTTCTTCAAGTACCTACGTATGACACTGTCGATACGATTTGATAGTTTTAATATTTTAAATTCTGTTTTTTTTTATGTAATTAGTATAAAACACGTAACAGAAATGTAAGTAGAGCAGAACGCCTACAAACTGCATTAGCAGTTTGGCGACGAAAACTACATGTAGGTACATGTAACTCATTTTGTGTAATATCAAACAAATAAAAAACCGGTCCTGTTGCCGACCAGAAGACTCCATAATATTCCTACCGATTGCGATAACTGGGGAAAAACTCGCAAGTATCCTTACCAGTGGAGATATATGGAATAGGGGGTGTTCTGCAGTCAGTAAGCCTAAGACGATAAAGAGAGCATTACCGCCTCCTTTGTACCACAAGGAAGGCAGTCGAGCTAAGACCCAAAGGTTAGTTATTTTTATAGTAACAGTTTATTACAATTATTTAGGGACTGAATAAGTACACAAAAATATAAAAAAAACAATATTTATTTTTACAGGCGAATAAAGATAATAATAAATACTTTTATAAATTTGAATCGCAGTAATAATACCATTACCACTTTTCTCTATAAAAATAAGGTATGTAAAAGTATTGAAGGCATTTTATTAGATAATATTTCGAGTTCTAGATAGAAAAGTTTTAGGCGCGGCGGTTTCAATGTGTCGTCATACTTAACAAGTCTAAGTCAATAATATCTCCAATGTTATTTTTAATGTGATATTCAATAAGGCGTTAATTTCAGAATCTGTTATGTTAAAATATTATTGCTTATTCGAACTCATTTTGTACCCGTAGATTATAACTAAAAGCTCTTGGCTATAAATAGCTATAAACCATTCAGCTAATTTGTAAGCTTTTATAATGACTTTACTTAAAAAGCTTTTAAAATAATTTGTTTGTCATAATTATTTGTATGGTGCAACCAGCCCAATCGTTTATTTCTTGTGAACGCAATAGTACTAAATTACACTAGTTTGCAGTCGTAAAGAGCTTATATAGAACAGCTGAGTGCCACATTAAGAAAATCTTCGAATCCGATAGTGACGGTGCCATTTTGCTGTGTATCACGCGACTTAAATGCCTCTGTAAAGCGCTGTATTTGTACACATAGTACAATAAAGTTATCGACTGATACCTTTCCTTCTCGAGGGTCGCATCTCTTCGTTAAAAAGCTGATGAATTCCGGAGTAAAGCGGAAACCCATTTGCTGCAATGCTGAAAGGAATATATAATAATATTATAAAGCTGCAGAGTTTGTTTGGTTGAACACGCTAATCTTAGGAAGTAATGGTCCGATTTAAAAAAATCTTTCAGTGTTAAATAGCCCATTTATTGAGGAAGGCTACATATCATGAAGCTACGGCCAAAAGGAGCGGAGTATAAAATTATTCCTTTCGGGAGCTTCCGTTGCGTACTCCGCATAAATCATCTATGACAGAATTATTCCCCTTCAAAAGTTCTAAAAACAAGTCCGCGACAGCATGTCTATCTTTTAGGGTTGGCACACTGAAGCCTTTTTTATGGGGCCTGGCCTGGGGGTGGTAGGTGAGGCCATCTGTCACCCTAGTAGAAGCAGGCCCGGGGTGGTGGCGAGACGCGCTGCGGAGCTCGCGCGCCCTTTCGGGAGCATAAAGGGGACTAAGGGGTTCCCACACAGGAGGGAGTAAACGAGACGTCGTTGGTCGAATCTGACATAACTACCGGTGAGTGGTATACGCGGGGATTACCGCACAGAAAAAAAAAAGGGGGGGGGGGATGGCGCTGACTCCAGTTAGCTCTGTGAGATACCATGCCGCGCAGCTCAGACGCATGGTCGTATCCCTACATAATACCACATAATAAAATTATAAGATCCAGTACTTTTACCTAATGTTGTAGTGTTCCACTCTTACTGATAATAGCATGATGTAGGTACCTAAAACAGTTCCTTAATGTACTTAGACTTTACAAATACTTTCAACTTCTACGCGAACGAAGCTATGCTAAGTATATAAATACCTAAATGCTACTGTGTCTGTTGGTCACGTGAGCTATTTGTGAGATTTACAGATATTTTTAATTCTAGTAGGCACTTTGAAATTGCTCGACATCTAATCGAGGACGCAAGTTTTTTTTAAACACAATTAATGAATTAGAAATAAATCATGTGGCAGGGACAAAATTAAAATGAAGGATACGAAAACACATTTTCTCCGGATGGAAATCGAACCCACAACACTCGGCGGGGCTTAGTAGCAAGGCGACCACTTCACCCACTGCTTTATTCGTCAGTCCAATACTTGATACTTCATCATAATTTCAACAGCCTTTATTAGTCCACTGCTATACATAGACCTCCCCTTAGAAAGAAGAGGAGAGTTTGCTATCTTAGTCGGCTCTTACGACACCCACGGGATGAATAGGGGTAGTGCTACTCCGTACTCTTAACCCGTCACCACACGGACTTGATAATTACCATTGGAAAGTTCTTTCTCTTCAATAGATCCTGATTGATCTGTGTCGTAGGTTTTAAAAACGGCCAGCCATTGGTTAACGTAAGTGTAAAGTTTCTCAAATTCTTCCACATTGATGCGTCCTGTACGGTCATTGTCAAACATTCCTGGAAATTACATTTGAACTATTAGCATCGTCAATATCACTTAGAACATAATAATAAATTAGCTTAAATTCCTGACCAGTTTGTGCTTGATAAGCGCAATTAAACAATACGAGTGTACCTATATGTGTGTGATAAATCTGAGAAACCGTGTAACTGGTCCATTACAAAAATCTGTTCAACAGTAGGCTAGGAATTTAATAACTAAACATGAGTTGATTAGTTAGTAAGTAGATACCTACTTTTCGATTAAATTATACAAGCCTGGTACACAAGAGTGGGTGACATCGCCACACTAAAGATAACGAATAAACGAAGTAAACTAATTATAAGCAGTAACATCTATTCATCATCGTCATCAGCCTTTACTAGTCGTCTGTTGGACAAAGGCCTCTCCTGAGAAAGGAGGTTTTGGCCTACTATAACACGCTGGCTTGACAGGTTGGTGTATTAGGTTTGTTTCAAGTTTTCCTTATGTTTGCAGTGCTGTGGTCCCGCGTAGTTTGCTCCCTTAGCCGGCTCTAACGACACCCACGGGATGATTAGGGGTGGTTACACTCTGTATTCTTAATTCGTCACCACACGGAAAATTATATATAATAGGTCTTTACTTATGAAATTGCCGTTTTGTATGCAATAAGTGAAAGTACTTATTTTTTCAAACTTTTTTATTTCATAATATATTACTTTTTCCAAAATTTAGACAACTTTTTAGTGGGTAAAAAATTCAATTCCCGAGAGGCAGTACAAAATGCCTTTGAAGAGTTTGTTGCCTCCCGTCCAGCTGATTTTTACAAGAAGGGCATCAATAAACTGCCAATGCGTTGGCAAAGATGCGTCGATTGCATGGGTGATTACTTCGAATAACAGAAATAAAAAAGTTTGAAAAAATAAGTACTTTCACTTAGTGCATACAAAACGGCAATTTCATAGGTAAAGACCTAATATTACTATATATATATTTTACACATCGTAACATTACAGTACTACTTTGATACAATTATGCACCAATATGTGCATAATTGCAATAACCAATTGTAATCACGGTTGTGTGTAAGGTTATTAAAATTAATTCCAATTTTAATAACCTCACACACAACCGTCTTAGCCCAACAAGGCAGAGCCTGTATATATTTCTAAATACATAAATGCTATAAATAATTACACTCAGACACAGAACAAATGATCGTGCTCATTACACAATTATTTGTCCTCGGTGGAAATCGAACCCCCGACCTCTGTTCTAGCAGTCACGATTACTAACCACTAGCTATACCAACAGCCCCGATTATAATCATAGTTTAAGTCAATAAGTATCATCACTTTAGATGTCATATATGTATATTTTGTAAGGGAGTATTCTAAGAATTTTCGTAAAAAAACTAACCAATCATTAGGTTGCATGCAGTTTCTGAAAATGTCTTCCCTTGAGCGTTCACCAGTGCAGCCTTCAGCTCAATAGCGGTGATCTCTCCAGATTGATCTTTATCTACCGCACGAAACCATTGCTGTACTTGAGGGTTAACTCCGCCGGCGCCTATAGATGGATACGGTCCATGGCCCATCTCTAGTCCTTGGGGTTGACCTCCAGGTTGTCCATATCCCGGCTAAAATAAAAATATATAGTAGTAAATATAGACATATTTCAAAAGTAGTAGTAGTAGTGAGTCTCGTTATTGCTGCGTTATTTGATACAGAAGGAAAGAAGAAGAAGTTTATTTTACATCAACTCTCTCTCGACGCCACGCGCGTTCGACGTTGCGATTGGCCCGCACTGAAATCTTCACCAAGAGATAGGCAGCGAACAGCGAGTAGGTGTGAAATAAACTCAGACTAGGCCCTCAATAGATTACAACATCGGCAGAGTGGAACTTCTGAGCAGCCATGAAATTCTACTTGATGCGATATGAATTTTACTATAAACATCTTGTTTACGCCTGCCAGCAAGTCTTCCTATTCTTCCAGTTACGAAATGAGGTAACATGCCTATGCCAATACGAAATTTCGTCACGTGGCGATAATGTACTGCGCCCTAATGTCGCTTCGCAGTTTTGTGAAAAGTGTGGCGGCGAAAAGTTTGTAACAAGTTACATACAACTGATTTGTGGCGCGACAGTCGATCGTCTCTTTGTACCTATATTAAGCCGCGCAGTACACGATATTTTGCTGTTACGTTATAAACTTCGCGTTGTCAGTAAGATACGTCACATATCTACATGGTACCTATATTATATTTTATTACATCTCTGTGTCGAGTATTTTATATGTAATAGAAGGCTCAATTTGTTTGAAAAGTTCATTTAAACGGTTAGTAATTCTATAATAGTGTTAATTCTGTTGTTCGAAAACTCTCTAAACTAAACTAAAAATCACTAAAAATTGTTTCGTCCTGTAAAGTAACGTTTCGTATTCTGAAAACGTAGTACTTGACAGTTCTAAACCAGTGATTTTTAGTTTAGAGAGTTTTCGAACTATACAGAATTAGCATCAATATCGGCAGTTACTTAAAAAAATTGTAGTGCGCGCCTAGCTTAGAGTTTCGTCAAGTCGAACCAGTAGCGTCGATTTAAGTAAATCGGACCGTTTATTAGAAAGTAAGATACTTAGAAAGACATTACGAAACAAACAGTTCCTACTTAAAGTGTAGGTATAGATTATCATTTCGAAAAGACAAAACATAAAATGTTATTCACATTAAACATAGCAATTACTTCTACATAAATGTATCTTTTAAGTTTTTTACACCTAATAAACGCGAAAATTTACTAGTTTTAAACTCGTAAAATCAATAAGACAACACATAGGATATAGATAATGAGCATCACTAAAGTATTTCTTTCAAAACAAAGCCGACTAATTGTATTGTGGGAAGTTCACTAAATATGCATGATGGCACGATTAGGCCTCCTATGACCCTATAGTTATGACCCACAGAGTTAACACACAAGCCAGGGATAAAGATAATAAAATAATTAACTTGTTTTCTTAGATAATTTTATTCTGTATAGTTATAAATAGTTACCGTATTTACATAGTAAGTATAAACAATAAAAAAAACTGCAATATTTTACAATAATAACGTTAATCACATGCAATTTAGTCCGGTCTATTTTTTTATAAAATTAAATACGTTCGTCCCGTTCACCAAACCAGTATATTAAATTATTACTGTTAAATCTTTTCAAACAAAAAGACAATTGCAAACATACAATCTGAATACTATTTTTATTACCTACATCCAGCATCTGTGTGTACATTTAAATGAGGTTCATCTTGCTAATTCAATTCTTTGTAATAAAGGTACTGTTCTGTCAATACATAGCTACCGATTTATAGTATTATAAAAATTTGTATAACTTATCACCTTAAAGTATTTACAATACTAAAGTTACAGGCAATGTCTACCGTGTATATTTTTTAGAATTAGGCACGCACGCTACACCAACTACTATAGGTATACCTAATAAAAATTTTTATACTATTAAAAAAGTAAACTGAGGTGCTGAAACACAGAGTATTCCTACTATGAGTCTTTAACCGACTTCAAAAAGGAGCAGGTTCATTGTTCCTCTGCATGTATTTTGTATTAGCTTAAGTAGCCATTCTTTCCGGCAAGGGCGCTGCGATAATATGATATATAATGTGCCTATGTAGGTACTATGGATAAGACGATAATATTTTTCATAGACATAAACTTAAAAAACTTTTAAGAACTCATACTAGGCATACAACTTGATATTAAAAGTTAACATAAGTAGCATTATTGACCCTTAAAGTATGTGTAAAACATTGTTCCATGCCCTACTGGAATATTTATATCTTTTATTTCTATGAAACTGAAATTTAATAAAGGTTGAAAAATTCGTTAAATCTCATAACAATTTTGTTTATGGGGGATTCAAATTAAAATATGCATAACATAAGCAACTGTTTATAACTATATCAGAGTTCCTTTCTAGTTGCAGACTGTATCTACACATAGAAATTTTGATGCAAATGGTATATTGTATAATTTGTTGTATAACATTTATAAATTTGTTAATAACAAAGACTTTGTGCCCAAAATCATATAATATTCAATAATCTCACTCCCTTAAGAAGTAATGCTACCTCTAGACATAATTAGTTTTCTGCCTCAGTAAAAATAGTGTTCTTAGTTTATTATTTTTTCTGTTATTCAGTTAAATAATGAGTACTATCTCATTAAATAACTGTTCAAGAGGTAAAATGGACAAATAAAGTTACAAGTGTCAAGATAAGCCAAACATTTATCTCCTATAGATATAATAATACTAAAATTTGATAACACTGATATTGTACAGTAATAATTAAAATATTTTTTGTTGACCTGTTTCTATTTAGAAAAAAGTTTCTGCAAACTTTTTTTTAACTTTTCATTGATACCGTTTATTCACCTAATCATCTAGGCAATTACACTATTATATTACTGTATAAATAATGTCTTAATGATATTTGCTTTTATTACTGTTAACAAGATTTGTTTATTTTAGTTGAGTCAGTAAAGGTGGATATTAATATAGTATAAGTTATATACACATAGGCATACACAGATAACTGCATTTTACAGTCCATGTGGCACAAGTTTTTTAATAGAATTATGTTGGTGTACCTTTGTAGTACCTTTTGCTGTTAAGTTGTCTATCAATTACTTATAATTAAGATTACAATGTATAAATTACACATAATATTTTAGTCTACAATGTTTCACCTAATATTAATTTAAAAGCTGCTTGGTAAATCACATGACGGAGCTTCTAGAAAACAGATTTTATAAAATAACAAAATTAAAAATATTTATTGCCTATTTAATATTACAAATTAACAGTAATCATACACTTATATTTAAATGACATTCAGTCTTTTACATCAAACCCAATACTGGCAAGTTTGTTACATTTAAACATTTTAATGTTGTTTGTACTAAGCAATCAAGTTATATGGATGCCTCACCTTATTGCCTTTTCACTAACTACTCCATTTCATATACCTTTCTACCACATAACTGGGATATTATGTGACTTGCTCTAATAATGTAATAATACTCAGATTTTAACTTAAACTCAATAAATGTTGCATAAATAATACAAATGTAGCCTTAATTGTATTAAGACTAGTTTACAAAAATGTAATTAGTGAAACTGCAGGAAACATAGGTTTAATATAGTAGATATCTTTGATAAACTACAGAAATGTTCCCTAGAAAACTGAGACATTACCATTTTGACTAGAAAAACTATAAGTAGCTGGTGTTACAGACGTATTTACACATACTTGTATTGATGGTTTAAAGGAAGAGGGGAGAAGTTTATGTGCTTCGGGCACTGGGGAATAACTACGACACACAGTGTCAAAATGAACTGGTTCACTTCTATCAGAAGGCACACCATCAAAACTTGTTTGTTTAGCAGAGTCACCTGTTCCACTGTCTTTACATGATGAGTGCTCTGATATATTGTCTGAAAACATCTGCGGGGATTCACTATCACTGTGCACAACATGTGTCATTTTAATACCTTCGGCAGGAAATGTATGCACTACACTTGCAGTACGTCTACGAGTGTGATAAATAATTACAACCCAAATAATTGATGTCCCTACAGCACAACATACAGCTGTAATAATTATAATTCCAGCCATATTGTCTTCATTGACCATAATGGCCACTTTAGGTAAGACACGTAACTCAGTCATATCTTTTTTAGTTCCTAACTCATTAGTAATTTCACATTCATATTGACCAGCATCACCAGATTCTGAATTAATTATGATTAACAGCTGATCATCTCCTGTCAAGAAATGCCTTTCTGTTATGGTTAATGGTGTTCCATCCTTCACCCATTTAATGACAGGCTTTGGAGAGCCTGATATCATACATTGTAAGACAACTGACTCTCCACTAGTCACTTCTTTATTTTCCATAACCCTAACAAATGATGGCTCTTGCAATACTGTCAGCGTAGCATTTGCTATAATAGTACCTGCTGGATTTTTAGCAGCACAGCTATAAATGCCCATGTCTGTGGTTTTTGCATTAACTATAAAAAATACATGGTCAGCTGGCATCACATTCATCCTTCTTTCTCTGGCTGCAGGAAAATCATTCCCACCATCTTTTTTCCAAGAAATTTCTGGAGGAGGATCTCCTGTAGCAGCACAATTAAGTGTTACAGTCTCTCCTGTTTTAACTGTTACATTTGTAGGTGTTTTCGTAAATCTGGGAAAAGTCACAATATTAACTTTAGCCTTTGTAGAGTATGTTGTTCCAAAGTTGTTACTTACAACACATTGATATTTGCCAGAATCAGCATGAGTAATATTTGGAATGACTAAAAGTGAAGTTGCACGAGGCTGACCATTTGTTCCAATTGTAATATTTTCATAAACCATAGGGTTACTGACATTTCCATTATTTTTCCTCCACAAAAATGTCATGTTATTAAAAGGAATAGATGTTGCCGAGCAAATAAGATTAGCTGATCTTCCCTTTATAGCGAGATGAGTCTTAGGGTGTTCCACAACCTTTGGTTTTGGTGAATCACCACAATTATCCTCTTTCAGTTTTGTTACTGAAACTCCTCTCACCTCTGACGGGTAGGCGCAGTTGGCTGTTACAAACTTTTGCTCAGCTTTTTGTTTGATCCATTCTACGATCCACAGCAAGTTACAGTCACATAAAAGTGATGATGAATTCAAGTGCAGTTTTCTTAATTTTGTTAAGGAATCAAATGCATGTTGTTGAATTGATGTTATATTATTGCCTTTTAGATCTAATTCAACAAGATTAGATAGGCCTTCAAATGCTCTAGAATTAATTGATTTTATGTGATTAGCAGCAAGACTAAAACTATTTAAGTTTTGTAATTTAGAAAAGGGCCCAGACATATCTTCAACAGTCCAAGATATTTTGTTGTTGTTAAGGCTAAATGTTTGAAGTTGGGTCATGTAACCAAAAGCATCTTGTGAAATTGATGATATTTTGTTATATCCTAAGTTAAGAGTATGGAGATTGACTAAATGTTGAAATGTTTTGCCTTCAATTGCTAGCAACTGATTATGTGACAGATCTAATACTTCTAAATTAGAAAATAATTCCCAGCTGCCAGAATCAATTTCAGAAATCAAATTGTTTGACAGAAATAATGATATCAGTGATTCTAATCCATACATCCAACCCTTAGATATAGTTCTAATTCTGTTATAGTCAAGCTGTAATAAATTCATAGATTTAAATCCAAAAAAGGCACCATCCATTATATTATCAATGTTGTTATATTTTAGTTTCAATGTAGTTAAATTAGACAATCCTTGAAAAAGAAGTGAACTAATCATATGAAGTTTGTTGTGGTTTAGCTCTAAGATCCTTAGATTTGTTTGATACCTAAAAAGATGATTAGGAAGGGACTGTAACTCATTTCTATTCAGTTTTAAAACTTCTAAGTTGGTTAAATTTGTTAGAGCTCCTTCTTCTATAAATTTTATATGATTACTGTTGACATTTAGAATTCTGATAGAACAGTTTGCAGGAAAAGTGCCTCGATCTATTGATCCAATACTATTTCTATTCAAACTCACTTCTTGAATTTGATTATAACTCTGTAAATGTGGTATAAACTGAAAAGAATTTTTGTCCAATTTGAGTTGCCTTAAATTTATCAATTTATCGAAAGCCTCCGTTACGTTGCCATTCAATCTATTGTGACTGAGATCCAATCGTTCCACCCACTTCGGGATTTTTGGCACTGAACCGAAATTCTTTTTTGAACAATCAACGTACTGCTCCAGACATTCACATTTATGAGGGCATTCAATGCTTTCTGCTTTTATAGAAAAACATAACAAACGCATTATCGCTATAAACAACAACAAATGAGAGAGTCCCATTTTCTTGCATTTGTGTAGCAGCCCGTTTGATACAACAAATCTCAATTACTTTTGTTCTTACATAATTAAAGACACAAGTAACACGCACACACAAAGTCAGTAGAAAAATACACTTTCTCAATTCTCATTTTTGACAATATTCGCATAGTAATAACGATAACATATCAAACGATTAGAAAAACAAGTCGACATATTTACGGCGATCCACTCGACGGCCATTTTATTTCTTCGTCATAGTGACGTCTTGATCATCTCGCGTCCTTTGCAGTGTCTTGTTATCGGTCGATTCACAATGTTCACATCACTAGCCAGTGTCATAAAATGCTTTTGAAAACACACAATACTTATTTAAATTAAAATCACCCCAACTTTTTGGCTTATGTTTCAAATATAATATTATTCAAGTAATATAAATTATAGAAATAAAAACATTATTGGCAATTCAGCTTACAATAAATGGCTTACATCTAGTTATGTTTTTCTTATTTTATTATATAACCGAATAACAAGCTTGTTAATGTATTTAGATTGCTACACTAGCCAATAAATAGTTTACTTCATACAAATTCACAGAAATTGTTTGTCAGTTTTTTTTTAATCATCAGTCATCAATAATCAGCGGTGTAATACGGAATAACAATGTTGATCATGCATAACGTAATTGAGAACAGACTAAGTTCTAGGCATGGGATAAAATCATAATCACCTGTGATAGGTATGATTTTAATATCATTTCATCACACCTGTGACTCATCTACAACATCACTGCATGTCAGTTTGATTGATTTTGATTTCATTTATTTTTGTCTATGACCAAATCTAAGTAGGTAGTGATTTATCTCATATGAAATCACAATGACCACAACAAATCATTTCATTAAATGAATATGATTTAAAAGTAGCAATAATTTTCATGTCTAGTAAGTTCAAATCAAAAGATACTTGAAAGTATGTAGTTTCGACTGAGTAAAACTTAAAACGCGTTCTAAAAGATCGATGATTGAGTTTTGATATGAATTTTAAACTAATTCAGATAATCAGAGTTCAACCGTCTTTTAAAATACGGGCCTCAGTGTAAGTGCCAGGTTGTAGATGAACAACGCATAGGTACTCATGGACATAAAAATAAAATGTTACCCACATCGTCATCATCAACAGCCTTTAATAGTTCACTGCTGGACATAGGCCTCTCCTTCGAAAGGAGGATTTTATGGTTACCCACATTATTATTATTTCTCCAATTGAATACAGGGCGAAAAAATGCTATCATTATGAAGTGTGTTGTACTTTTCGAAAAATTTATGAATTTTCACAGAAAAGTGTGCATACATTAGAAGCATTATGTATGGTGTACATAAAGAATTAGTTGATGAATTCAGAAAAGGAGATTCCATGAAAATAATACTTTTATTTCTATTGCAAATAATTATTTTATCTATAAATTTGAATCAGTAATATAATCTGATTATTGTAATTATTTACCAGGAAAATATAAGGAAGTCAGTAATATCATAATATGAAGTTAAATATTTCTCTTTTCTGTTGTGATTTCATCATCTACGAACAACTGTAACAAGTTGATCATGGAAGACTAGGAACAATAACCTTTTTTTAAAATTAAAGAATACTAGCAATATGTGCCAGGCAGACAAGATATTATATATTTAATAAAAATGGCCCACCTAGTCATCTCGTATGGCACTCACAGGATGAATACAATGAATTTGTAAAGCATGATTGTATCTTAACACATGATTTAGTGTTTTCAATTTTCAATCTTACACATTGCTTTTATAAAAATCTAATAATGTGGTACAGTGTAGGTAAACATGATGAAGTCAGACTGGCTATACAAATTTCTTATATGTCAAAGACATCAACTTACCAGTAAGTAATTAAAGAAACAAAAAATTAAAATTTATAATATATTTCTGCATTATGTATTTTTTTATTTAAATAAAAATTTACACTTATTTATTCATTTTTAGAGCATTTTTAAAATGAATACACTTTTTAAATAAAAAACGAAAGGATTAATAAGCATAAGACTATTAACATTAGTACCTAGTTAGTTGCTGATAACTTTATAGAAACATTTGTGGTGTCAAGCATATTAGTATGCATTCCAAAATGTTTATAATGGTATGTGTAAAAACTTAAGCAAAAAAAATTAAACTAATACAGCATATTTTTTTCAATTAATTTTACTATATAATTATTTGTGGCAAAGAAAATGAATGTTTTATGATTACTAAAAATTTTAAAAATATTGAAGTATGATCAAGTTATATTTATCTTACTGATTTTCATTATTTTATTGTTTATAATGAATCACCTGAAAAAAATTTTTGTTCATACCACATTAACAATTTCTTTTTCTTAATAATTCTCTCATGAATTTACGAGTGCTGCTGCCTGTGTATTTATAAAAATAAACCTCAATTATATAGATCATTTATATTCCTTCCTTTACCAAAAAGGTTTGTTTGTCTTAGTATTTATTATGCCATGCCTTATTGGACAAGAAACTAACAAAAGCAATACTATTCAGTGTTTTTTATTTGTTATTTAAATAAAATTATCCTAATGAGAAAATAAGTGGTCAAATGTTTACTATACTTACATTGTATGCCATTATCTATTTTGTTTAACCTGCAAAAAAGTAAATATTTGAACTTAATCATTTCTGGCACAAATTAATAATTCCTTCCTCATAGTGAAAAACTAGGCAACTTATTCTAATTTGTTTTAATACTGATCATAACCAAGTAATTTAAGTGGCTGGAACTACACTTTAGTTTTTTTTTAAATTAGAAAGTTAACCTGTGAATACAACGAAAACAAAGAGGAAAGTGAGTTTTAAAGAAGTCATTGCAGTAGCTTTAGAAAATTAAACAATTTAATTTTACCATTGTTATCTACCTTACATTAGGTATATTGTAATTTAAAGTATTACTTACAACACAATCGAGTAATTGAGAAAATATATTTTTACAGCGTTGTTATTTTAATTAAAAAAAGAAAGTGCTGATATAACAAACCAAAGAGTAAAGTAATATTAATTTAACAACAAGGTACTATACTGCAATAAAGTATATACCTAATTATTAAACATCAGAACTCAGGTAAACTATGACATGACTGATAAATAGACGTCAAACTTGCTGTCAATACGAATATCAGTCCTTTAGGTTAGTACTAATTGTAGAAATTGTCGCCCGAGTGCTTGTTTGTCCTATCTACCATTGATTGAATTTTATAGGACGAAGTTTTTTTTTGCTCTATTGAGAAACAAAGCCATAGTTTCCAGATTTTAAAGTCTTCCCAAATACATGAGTTACCAATCATGAATTGATTGTTCGAATTTTCATCTACTGATGGTAGCTAGATATACCTTATTTTACTATGGAGATAGAACAAAAACGCACAAATAAAATTATAAATGTGGAGATAGGACACTACTTCATTGGAGATACATAGCACAAAGTGACCGTTCCATTTGTGCGTGCTTATTTGTTCTGAGTGCCAAATATATTGTACAGAATGTACATTTAGTCTACACACTGACTAGCATTAATGATGGTGCCTTTAGAATTATTTTTATGGCTTTTGAGATTTAAGGTGCTTATAAATTAATAAAGTCGTACGTATTTTTAAACTTTTTTATTTTTTAGTTGACAAGGATAAAAAATCTTTAAATAAACACTACCGATTTGGAAAATTAATATTCTTTTTTGTTGTGTTCGTTAGTGTGAGAAAACGGTTTGTGTAAAGGAAAATTTAAAAAAAAATCGTACAGAGTAAAATATCATCTGGGTTATTATTAGTTTCGCTTTTTTGTCTTTTTTATTTTCTTGTCTTTTGTGGACTTCTTCACATTTTTCTCTCATATAGTTTTATTTTCTTTGATAGGAATCTTCTTCTCATTTTTCTTTCCTGTAGTTTTATTTCCTTCAGTAAGTTTCTTATTCTTATTTTTACCTCCTTTACTTTCATTTCTTTCAGTGAGTATATTCTTTATATTGTTACTTCTCATAAATTCGTTTCCGTCGGAGGCTTTAAGCAAATTAAGATTTGCGCGGTATTAAAACATTATAGGTATAACATTTAATACAAATAATAATGTCACAGCGACAACAATAAGGCTATCATTAAGCAGAAGCGCCACAATTTAAAAAAAAGTTAATGTGCAACCAAAGCGCACAAAATTAAAGTATTACATCCAAATTTGCAAGGCGATGAGCAAAATTGTAAACCAGATTTAGAAGCGAGTAATATTTTTTTTAGTAAAGTAGTACCAGCCCTGTATACCAGCGAATAGGCCATTAAATCATATAACAAAACAGTTTAGTAAGGTGCAAAGCGTTTTAAAACCACACCAAAATTAGTTGGTAAATAAATTCTTAAGTACCTTTATTTTACATACCAAATAACTTGTCATTTTCTGTTTTCCTCGAGTAGTAGTATATTTTTGGGAGCAACGTAGCGTCTTTTGTGATGTCGCCAGCCACAATAACAAACTATACAAAATGGCGAACATGGCGTTGTAGACTGTGATTGGTCGATTGAGTGGACTAAGAACTCGACCCCAAACCTATAGGGTTCTTCCGGTTGACCTTGAATTGTCAATTTTGGTTAAAAGCAATGTCTTACAGCACAAGTAAAGAGAAAATTCTGAAAAGTAAAAAAATTGAAAATTAAAGTAAATTTTGGTACTAACAAGTTTTCGCGAAAATCGAAATTTGCCTATTATCTTTTTATCGTATTGACTCAGGACCTTGATTTTATACACCTAATAGGGACCATAGACCTCAGTATATATCGGTATAAATTTGAACTTGCTAGGTCTACCCGTTCCTGAGAAAATCGGTAGTGACACACGGACAAGAAAGTGATCTTATAAGGGTTCCTTTCTTACCTTTTGAGGTACGGAACCCTAAAAACTGTTAAACAAAAAAAACGCAACATGTGGTAATTTCTTTTTATTCAAGAATAATTTTAAACAAATTATCACGCTCATAGTAAGCCCCTGTTTTTCAATTTCGGATTGACACTCGGCAAACACTGAGATGATATAAAAAATCCCAGTACTGGTTCAGGTTCTCAGCAGTTCGTTATCAACCGTATTTCCAACACAACACAAATAGTTTAGAGAATCATAGGAGTACCAAGCATATCTGAATAAGCGACCTATATTATGTTGACATTAATAGAAATAACAAAGTGAGTAAATAAAACTGGTTTTAAATAGTTATATTTACTCATTTCTGAATAAAATTAACTTATTTAAATAGTTTCTAAAATAAACTTTATCTGTCACCTTTTTTGCATGGTATCGGAACCTTAAATCAATAAAACCTTTAATAACAGATTTAATAAGTAACAATCTGTGATTTATGTTGTGCTCAGTATTGAGTGGCAAATAGAAAATGTTTTCGTATTCATAATATTCTGTCAAAAACTTAAAAATCTATATATATAAAAGAAAGTCGTGTTAGTTACACTATTTATAACTCAAGAACGGCTTTGCCGATGTGGCTGAAAATTGCTGAGGAGGTTGTTTAGGGCCAGGAGACGGACATAGGATACTATTTATTCCGTTTCTTCTTCTTCTTCTATTTATTCTCTTTCTTTTTTTCTTTTTTTTTTGTATCGGTGTCGATCACCAGATGACAACGGTGGAACTGTCACGACAAAAGTGAAAAGAATGGATTTCGTTGTCTACAACAGTTGGATTGTTCCATATTCGCCACTTATTTCTAAAACGTTCAAGACACATTGCAACGTTGAGTATTGCAATTCAGTAAAGTCCATAGAATATATTTGCAAATATGTCACGAAAGGCAGCGATATGGCGGTTTTTGGATTGCAATCCTCAAATACCAACGATGAAATTTCACGCTATCAAGTTGGTCGTTATGTAAACTGTAATGAAGCTATTTGGCGTATATTCGCATTCCCTATTCACGAACGTCATCATACTGTTGTGCATTTGGCAGTGCATCTGGAGAATGGTCAACGAGAATATTTCACGGCTTCGAATGCTATGCAACGTGCTAAAACACCTCCAGCAGCTACATTGACCAGTTTCTTTGCGATCTGCCAAAGCGATACGTTTGCACGAACTTTGCTTTACTCGGAGATGCCACGCTATTATACTTGGAATGCTTCATCGAAGAATTTTCAAAGACGGAAGCAAGGCGATGCGATTCCTGGGTATCCGGATGTGCGTTCTACTGATGCTCTTGGTCGTATGTATACAGTTCATCCAAAGAATGATGAATGTTTCTATTTGCGGTTGTTGCTGGTAAATGTGCGTGGGCCAACGTCATTTGAGACACTACGGACTGTTAATGGTGTAATATTCCCAACATATCGTGCTGCATGTAAAGAACTGAACTTATTAGAAAACGATACCCATTGGGATACGACAATCGCTGAAGCCATTATCTCTGCATCTCCAAGTCAGATACGCACATTATTCGCTATCATAATTTCAACATGCTTCCCATCAAACCCATGTAACCTGTGGCACAAATATAAGGATAATATGTCGGAAGATATTTTACATCAAATTCGTATCACTTCCAGAAATCACTATGTTGAGATGAATGAGGAGATACATAATCGTGCTTTACTCTTGATCGAAGATATGTGTTACCTCATGTGCGGTAGTTTATTAATCAGGTTAGGAATGCCAGCGCCCAATCGTGAAATGAATGACGCATTTTATCGAGAATTGGAACGGGAACGTGAATATGATCACCAGGAATTAGATTTAGTAGTTCAAAAGAATGTACCCCTGTTGAACTCCCAACAAAAGGAAGTTTATGATACTTTAATGAAGGCAATCGATGATGGAAATGGTGGTTTATATTTCCTAGATGCCCCTGGTGGAACAGGTAAGACATTTCTCATGTCAGTAGTTTTAGCCACTGTTCGTGCGAGATCCAACATAGCGGTTGCATTTGCTTCTTCTGGAATAGCAGCCACATTGTTAGAAGGATGCCGTACGGCTAATTCAGCATTAAAATTACCCTTAAATCTTCAAACTATTGAAGAACCAACGTGTAATATTACGAAAAATTCAGGAATGGCCAAAGTTTTATCGGAATCGAAAATCATCATCTGGGACGAATGCACAATGGCGCATAAACGTGCATTAGAAGCACTTAACCGAACATTGAAAGATTTACGGAATGACTCGAGATGTTTTGGAGGAGCAATGATTTTATTGTCTGGCGAACACTGCCAGTAATTCCAAGATCTACGGCTGCCGACGAAATAAACGCTTGCCTCAAATCGTCGAATCTATGGCGCTATGTGAAGAAACTGCAGCTGACAACAAACATGAGAGTTGCATTGCTTCATGATACATCTGCTGAAGATTTCTCTGAACAATTGCTGACTATCGGTAATGGTCAAGTACCTGTCGATGAATCGAGCGGATTGATATCATTTCCAAATAATTTCTGTAATTTTGTCTCATCAAAAGACGAACTTATCAACAATGTATTTCCAGACATTATTTCTAACTACAAAAATAATGAATGCTTGAGTGAGCGAGCAATTTTAGCGGCTAAGAATAAAGATGTCACACACATCACATCAACAGCCTTTAATAGTCCACTGCTGGACATAGGTCTCTCCTTAGAAAGAAGGTTTTGGCCTACTATACCACGCTGGCCAGGCGAATAAAGATGTAGACGACCTGAACTATATAATTCAAAATAAGATCATTGGAACAATGCATTCATTCAAATCTTTTGACTGCGTCACAAATGAAGATGAAGCCACCAACTATCCAATTGAATTTTTAAACTCCTTGGATGTGCCTGGCTTACCACCGCACAATTTACGCCTAAAGGTTGGCTCCGTAGTAATCATGCTTCGAAACATAAACCAACCAAAACTGTGCAACGGTACGCGTTTGATGGTTAGAAAATTGATGAACAATGTAATTTACGCGACGATACTGAAAGGAAAATTCAAAGGTGAGGAAGTTATCATTCCGAGGATCCCGATGATCCCAACCGATTTACCATTTGAATTTAAAAGACTTCAATTTCCGATCCGTCTTGCATTTGCCATGATCATCAAAAAATCACAAGGCCAATCCTTAAAAGTTTGTGGTTTAAATCTAGAACATCCATGTTTTTCCCATGGTCAATTATATGTGGCATGTTCACGGGTCGGACCATCTGCGTTGTTTGTTTTTGCGCCTGATAAGAAAACAAAAAATGTCGTGTATCACAAGGTACTTAAGTGAAGAGCAACCTATGTACTGCAATGCAGGAACAATAATAAATGATTAATGTACTTCATTTTTTTTCTAAGAAAAAAATTAACTTACTAAATTCGAAAATCGGCTTATTTATTGCCTTTAAGGCGGAACAGAGTTCGCCGGGTCAGCTAGTATATAAATAATAATTTTCTGGCTTCTTTTGGGTCGTGAGGTCGGGTTTTATCAATTTTTCGGTTTTATTTATAATGTCCACTACTGCAACAGACGCAAACTGAAGACCACCACGGGACTTCTGGTAAATCAAGCTGTCTGGATTTTCATCCCCTAACATTAGTGATACACAGGTGACACATTTTATCGTTTGAGACAACTTCCGCGTCACGAAACCTGCAATATATTCTAACACCCTTTGTGTGTATTCGTCTAGGTCCGTACTTTCTAAATACTCCATGTATGTATTGTAGAGATCACTATCATCTTCAGGTATTTCGACGAAGTCAGTTTGTTGCGATAGTTCATTTATTGCATTAACTGGGTTCTTGCTTGAGCATGTGAGTATATTTATCTGCTCCAGAGTAATGCAGTTACCAATTCCGCGACCTCTTATATCACCTCTTATTAGAAGTTTTTTGTATGCTGCGCGAAATTGTACAGCATTAGGGTTATTGTTAAAGCCACCTCTAGCTCTAATAGCTGAGAAAAATAATTCCAGATGGTCCTGGCTAATTTTGTACAGTGGGACGAATTTAAGTATTTGTTTATCCTCTACCAAGTGCTCATAATTTATTATCAAACCAATAAATCCGGTCTTTCGCCGTGACTCTACTAAGAGCTCTCCCGTAATAAGTTTCAAACTCTTTAGATACTCAATAGTACTTTCAAACAGCGCTCTTATAAAGCCAATGTTTTGAGGGCACATAGCTTTTTTCCAACCAGGTGGACGAATAGAGTGGCTATTGAGCACATCAAATACGTGGTTCATTATGTTTATAAAATTTACAGTTCCACTGCAGTCTTCAAATCTTTTTAATTTTAATTGGTTGCGGCAAAATTCAAGGGCATCTGCCACGGAACTGCTAAATAATTGTGTTGCGAGCTTAACCTTCATTTTTTGTTTCTGAAAAAAAATATGTGCTTTACCAATTTTAGTAGCTAGATGAAGACCTTTCTCTTGTTGTAAACCTAGAAGGAGCTCTAAATATTTGTAATTAATTTCTCGATCCATTGGGTTAATGCAGACTCTCAATTCTCCAAAAGCATTCCTCACTAATTTTACAGCATGGCATGGGTCAATGAATATAATTATGGACTATACTATGGACTATACTGTCTTTTAAAATTGCTCAATGTTTGTTCCCTCAGAACATTACAACCTAAAGATGTAAACATGCTGAAATTCCCAGCTAGACCATCACAAGTGACACTGATGACTTTTACTCCAGCAACTTGACACAATTGTATTGCTGTTCGAACAAGTGTCGCCTTCTGTTCCCCGGTAAGCGATACGATAAGAAAATATCCAATTGGTAATTTCCATGAACCATTTATGGCTGTTAATAATAAAACCAAGCATTGGCTGGCTTCTTCCACACTATCACTGTTTACATCATGACCAAGATCAACACGACCATACAATTTTTGTGCCATCGGTTTCCAGGTTAAACATTTTCTAATAGACATTTCATCTAGTGTTAAGGCGCAAATTACAGGGTGCACTGTTTCTTTGACTTTTCTTTTTAATGTGTCAAAAGCTTCTTTTGTAAAGCCTGGTTCAGCATCTATATGTTGGTACCATTTGCTTAATGTGCGAGTGTGTGGCAAACAAGTATTGTAGGTCTTTCTTATAAATTCGTACGCTTTGGGCGAGTAAAAATGCAGTGTAAGGGCAAATTTCCTTAATTCCTCTGAATACTTTTTTTCTAAAGGCAGACCTCTAGATTTTGAAATTTGCCGTGTTAGAAAATCTTCAGGTCCTGCACATTCTTCCAAAATGAGACTCTCTTCGGTGTTGATGAATTTCTTTTCCTTAAGATGTTTGATGATTTCAGAGCATCGGGCAATATTTTGATCACGTCTCCGGACCTTTTCATTTAAACTCCTAACTTTTCTTTGTAGAATATCACACTTTTCTGTGAGAATCTTTATTTTTTCTTTTTGTGAACTTCTTGAACTTTCTTGTTGAACCTGAAAATTCGTAACATATATAACAATGGGGATAAAGGGTCAGAAAGTAGGAAAGATTTCAATTAAATTTGGTATGAAGATACTTTGATTCTTGAGGAAAACTTTTTACCGCGATGACCGATATTATCAATAGGCAATAGCTAATATCTTATAATTCACAAGTTTTTATTTATTTTGATTAATAAATCACAATCTCGTCACAGGATACTGATTAATAAATGTAAACTCAAGACTTAAAAGAAAGACTTGAACTTGTTTGTGCACATAATTAAATATAGGACCCACTCATATTTATAGGACGGCTCCATTTGAAAGTATCTGAAGGTATAGGGTTTTTTTTTCTAGTTTTCTCTTTGTCAGTGATGTGGTCTATCTACCTTAGGTACTTATTTAGGTGCCTCTTATAACACCTTCAGGGTGGAATGGGGTAGTGGCATAGATTATTCTGAATCGGTCATTACAATAAGTATTACAATGAATTACTATTTAAATTCATGACCATTTTTTATAAAAGTAGGCTATCTAATGTATAGTTACCATTGCACTTAAAGTAGGTTGTGAGTCAAGCAGGGTTTTTGGAAGGATTTGACTGGCCTGAAAGTAATAAAATTATTATTAATCATCATTGACATAGTGGTGTAACGGACTGCTATTCTAAAGGTCGCAGGTTTGATTCCCACTCTAGTCAAACATTTGTGTGCATGAACATTTAATGCTTGATTTGGTCTGGGTGTTTCTATGTACCAACATGTATGCATTTATATCAGTTGTCTAGTACCCATAGTACAAGTGTTGTTTAATTGTTTCTTTGTTTAAATGCGCTAATCTCTGGAAGTATCAGTCAGATTTGAATAATTTATTGTTTTGGATAAAGTATTCAATGAGGTATATTATAGACTATGTAACATCATACTCACTACTACTCAGGAGAGGAGCACTTACCATAAACGTAGGTGTAACTGCGGGGAATGACTAGTATTTGATGTAAATCCTATTATCTACATTCTGATGAGCTTATCACATCACTTTTATATTTAAAATAAAATACCATACCAACCTGTAGCGAAGATAAGGGCACTGCACAGTCACGTAACCTCGTCACGCCGAGAGTTCTGTTGAAGGATGTTTCGTCGAAATGCATCGAGCAGACATACCACAATTTATGTCGAGAGTTTATGTTTTCCAAACCAATGATATTGATCCATTTTCTTTTCAAAATTTCATGTACAGGAAATCTGATGAGGTAAACACCATTTTAAATAAAAAAAACCGTGTAAAAATGAAAGTATCGATACTTGACTCGATCATCTCTACCCCTAATCGTATGTAAACAAATCAAAGTCAAACAAAGCAAATAACACATTTGGAAATCTCGAAAAACTAACAAACGTGTTCAGTAATATTACAAAGATCATCTTTAATACAATACTTACATTCAACAAAATCCTAAAATATTGAACAATATCAATGAAAATATATGACTTACCTGTGAAAAGTCAATGTAGGATGATTATTGTTTTTTCTTGCACCACACTCTTTACTAGAGCACGAGGGCATGATTATCCCGTCTAGGGCAAAGCCTTGGATACAATAAAAACCAGTTTACAGCCGTATAGTTAAACCGCCGTAAGCTTGGCCCTCCTGATGGTTTGGGGGACGCGGGGCCGGGGTACATTCAACCAATTAGCTAGTGCGTCGCTGTCCGCCGGCAATGACTGACGTGAAAGTATGGCTGTACGTGTTATTTTTGGTATTATTTTGCAACATGGATAATCTGCCGACTCTGCGTCACAAAAAGATTTAAAAACTTGAAGTTCGGCTTACAGAGGTTCTACTGTTAAAGTTCTAATAAAGAATATTTATTATTTTACTTAATTTTTAAATTGTATCTAAATATAATTTACATGATGAAGATAAGGTGATTTTATTAAAATTATTTTACAATATTTAATTTTACAATTAATCATAAAAACTTACAATACACTGACATTATAATACATGGAAATAAATTCGATTTTTATTACATCGTGTGTACATTAAATCTCAAACAAATAAATCTGAAGATATCGAGTTAGTACATCGTGTCATGTATAGCCGAGCGCATCACCCGCCCCGCGTCCCGCAAACCATCAGGACTCAGGAGGGCCAAGCTTACGGCGGTTTAACTATAATATGGATGAAAACAAAACAACAACAACCGTTTGACAGCAGATATGTCTCAAAACTTGGTACCTAAAATGGCGACGGCGGTCACGAATTGACAAGTTCATGACGTCACTCGAAAGTGTTGCCAATATTAGTACTCACTTAACTATGTTTATCTCTCTTTTCTCACTAAGGTTTACATAAGTAAAAAGGAGATGTAATGCTTTTTGGTGTATATGTGTCGATCTAATACATATTTGTATAATGTATTGTTAGTATAGTAGAATAGGCCACTACATATATATTTACTTCCTCATTGATGTCATGACACTGATAGACGTCAAATTTGCTGTCAATACGAATATCAGTCCTTTAAGTTAGCACTAATTGTAGTAATTTTAAAATTCTATTCTATGTTGAATATTAGAAAATAAAAGGTTTAAAATATACATTACCTTAAAAATGTCAAAGCAAAATGTGTTCTTTGAAGAAAAATGGTAATTTATAATTTTAGACCACATCGATATCTTATCTCTTTTTTTCGTACTTGTCGATTCGATACAGTTGTCCCTGTCTTTCGTACGCAGTAAATGCTAGAATAATGCAGCTTTCACGACTTTCCAATTTTTGTGCACGTCACGTCATTACCGTCACTAACTGCTATCAAAATACACTGTTACAAAAAATTAGTATTTTATTTTCATGTTATACTGAATTATAGTAAAAAATGGAAAGTTATGAAAGTGTAATACTGGTGAAGAATGAAGTATTTGTATTTAAAATACCCCCCAGAACTTCGAATAGAGGATATAGGTAGGTGTACCCTTTTTTTTGTGTAATTAATTGTTTGGTAGGGAACATTAAAAAGGTGGGTGTTTTAGGGCAGCTGATTGGAATTTACAAGAGCCACATTGGACGGGGCGTATGAGGCTTGTGGCTAAGGGAGAAGAATTAATAATGAAACTTGAAGACAAAACTTCTGGAGAGCTATTTGCCAAGTGTCCCATAGATAAATACCCTGGGTTGGCTCTCGAGTCTGTAACTGATAGTTCACGTTACTTTGTTGTGAGAATTCAAGATGATAATGGTAAATATAAGTTTTTAAAATTTTTCTTTGTTTTTACTGGCCTTGGTAGTAAACTGATTTAATATTATTTCAGGCCGAACTGCATATATAGGCTTAGGATTTGGTGATCGCTCAGATTCTTTTGATCTAAATGTTGCTTTACAAGATCATTTTAAATGGTTAAGAAAAGAACAAGAAGGTGAGGCAAATCCTCATCAGCAATTAGACTTGGGATTTAAGGAAGGAGAAACAATAAAAATTAACATGAAGATTACTGTAAGTTTTTTATTCTATTATTAAGGCTGAGTGAAAACTTTTTAATAATGTTTAATTATTAATGTTGATGATGCTTCTGTTAACAAAAGTGATTCAATTTTTAGCTAAAAAGCTTATATGTATATTACAGAAGAAAGACGGAGGTGAAACAAGTAAATCTCGCAGAGGAGCTGGTGGTGGCGCTGGTGGTGGGGGTTTGTTACCACCACCACCAGGAGGATCTAGGCTACCTCCACCGCCCTCTCCACAACATGCACCATCTCCCTCTGTTGCTAATGCTCCTGGGGCTGCTAACTCGGAATGGGGAGACTTTAATTCCGCCAGGTATGTTGATGTATGATCCTAACTAATATTATGAAGGTGAAAGTGTGTTTGTTTGTTATGTCTTCACACCTTATACCAAATTTGACTAGCAGTACTTAATTGGTTATAGTTTAGGATAACTTTATCCAAAAAAATATTACTATTGAAAAAAAAAAAAATATGAGTGATGGCAGGAAAGAAGCCCTTGATAACTAACTATTATATGTGATGAAACTTTAATGTTAATCTTCATTACACATAAAGAAACTAATAAAATAAAATAATACTAATAAGTCTTTAACTTAAAAAATAAAATAGGTAGTTTATACAGCCTTGGCCAAAAGTATTAGGCACCCTACATTTTACTTAAAATAAAAGAAAAAAACAACTTATACTTTTTGAATTTATTTATTATAATTAAAATTCACAAAAAGGAATGAAAAAAACTTAAAGTCTAGTTGGTCCACCTTTGGATTTAATTACTGCACTAATTCTAGCTGGTATGGCTGGTACAAGCTTAGTACAATCCTTGTAATGGCATGCCTTTCTTGTACTAACGCATTTTTTAATGCCGTTTTCGATGTGATACTATGCTCTTTAATCTTGCGCTTCAAAATGCTCCAAAGATGTTCAATTGGGTTGAAATCTGGTGACTGCGCTGGCCAATCAAACAAGTCAATGTTGTTTTCGAGCCTCTTCGGACAAAGTAGCAGCAAGCTCTGATGATGTTTTCTTCCGATCTTTCATAGATTCGCGTATTAATTTTCTATCCTCGTGCTTCGAAGTCACACGTTTTCTGCCTGTTTTTGGTTTATTACCGTGACTGCCAGTCTTAGCAAACCGTTTGATGGCAGATTGCACAGCGCAACGCGAACATTTCACTAACTTAACAATTTCTTTTTGCGACTTCCCTTGTTCATGGAAAAGTTGTATTTTTACTCGGTTTTCCAAACTTATTTCACTTCTTTTCGGCATTTTTAAATAAATTACGTGTCAATTTAATCACTATGTTAGAAATAAAAGCTTGTTTACACTCGTTAGAGTCCTGAACACAAGTGACCAAACATTGACTGATAAGAACGCATAAAAACAAATCCTTTGTTTTCAGTCACCAGGTGTTTTATGACCATAACAGATAGCTGCTTGCTTTTCTAGGAAGTTATTTGTGACCCCGGCATGCCATCTAAGATAAGCATTTATTCATTGTTTAATCAGTAAACATGAATTGTGCATTTTTCTGGGGTGCCTAATACTTTTGGCCAAGGCTGTATATAACTCATCAGGTTGCCTTATGACATATGTTTATATTAAACACTATAATGTATATTATAAAATACTTGTACAGTAACAATCAGTTCCAATTGAGTTGATAAATATGTGACTGATAATTGAGTAACTTTTAGATATGTTGCATACAGGACAAACGCTTCATTTTTTATTTAACTGACTGGCCAAACAACTGACCTGCTGCTGATAACCTTCTCAATGAATATAGACAACATTAATGTTATTACTTATCCTGTTTTTGCGACAATATCCATTACTCTAACACTCAAATAATAATAATATTCTACCACGTAGAGCTTTTACTAAAGGTACTCAACAACTGATTCAAGTACATATATAATTTAGACCCAAAACCACCCAGACATGATTGAGATTCATATACACAATTGATTGAATTGATAAATTAAGTGGGATTCAAACCTGCAACTTTTAATATAGCAGCCCCATACACAAACAACTATGGTTTAATTGTATTAATTGCCTGGTTTTTTTTACAGTGATCCAAGTCAAAAACCAGTGACACCAGCCAACCAACAAAACTGGGTGCAGTTCTGAAGTCATACTGAGACTGCTTTATTGTGATTTGGTGTCTGTTGTAGGATGGCACTCACGTGTGTTGCACAATACTTAAAATTACTTAATAACTTAGGTATACTGTATCAATAGCTCTCATATTCAGTAGTAAGTTAAAGTATATCATTACATTATAGGTTTAAATATAATGAGATATATTGCTGTTAGATGCCAGATCACAATATTAATTAATGCAATAAATATGATTAATATCTGATGTACTTTTTATCTGTATATGTTGTACTACTTGTACGAGTATAATTAATAATTAAACTTAAATATGTGGTAGGATATTTTGTCTTGCATATTATTATTGTTGTTATTGTATGTTGTTGAACAATGCATGTCTTAGAAGGTTTTTTCTATGTAAATAGGTAAATAGTTGAATCTTATAAAGATGTTAATTGCTATGTACTATCGAAATTTTCCTTATTAATATATGAATACAAGTTCCATATTTTTGGCATTCGTGACAAATGTACAAATATAACGAAAGTATAAAAGTAAAATATAATACACAGTATTCTTGGTTTCATTTCTGAGATATTTTTTCCATTATTTTTAAAAATATGGTAAGTGTACCAGAATTAAATTTTATAGTTATAGTTTAAAGTATGGGTGTCTATTATGGTAAAGGAAAGATAAAAATGGAAAAGTCGACTTTGATTTATTTAGTAACTTCCATCAGGGGTAGAAGACATCATCCTCATCATCAACAGCCTTGCTAAATAGTTCACTACTGGACTTAGGCCTCTCCTTAGAAAGGAAGTTTTGGCCTGCCATACCACGCTAGCCATACGAATTGGTATAGTTTTTGTCAAGTTCTCCTTCTCTTTGCACTGCTTTTGTCCTGTGTAGGTAGTTTGCTCCCTTACGACACGGGACGAATAGCTCCATTTGCAGACAGTTTTAATAATTGGCTATGATGCCGCTTTCAATTAGGTGACTGCAGATTGTGAATACAATTACAAGTTTTGGTTTTGAACTAATATGAATTAGTTCACTATTTGTTATATCACACACCTGTGTATACGCACTCAAAATTAAATAAATATACTAAATTGCTAGTAGTGTGGTATAGAATTTATATTCATGAGCTAATGCTTATTATTATTGTTTTCTATACAAATTGAAGCCCACAGGATAAATAGGGGTGTTGACACTCTGTATTCTAAATCTGTCGTCACACGGATTATAGTAGGCGAGCCCTAGTAGGGATTTCGGGATTTACTCGAGCATGGCAGATTAACATAAGGAGGAATACCTTACACCCAGTTGAGTACCTCAAACTTTTATGAGCCCTACATATAAGGGTTGAGTGTCTAGGACAGTCAATCAGATTAGTAAAAAAAAACGATGGTTAGAAATACTCGAGCGTGTAAGATTAAGGTAAGCTGGGTTAATTTCATGCCGAAAAGTGTGTATTTAAGAATCAGACGATTTGAGCGTGGCATAAGGCAGCGGGAGACTTTGAACTTGTGAACCAGCCTTGAATTACGGTACCGTCATTGTTTACGTTTCGGCTCTGTATGTCATGACGGGTAGGACGCTCTAATTAAAGACTCGTCCTAAAGCACTAGGATCGATGATGAGAAGACGCGACGTAGCGTCTTAAACGCTGCCAAACCCAAATGAATTCTTCTATTCACTTCGTATTTAAAATTTTATGAACGTGCGGCATAGAATTTTTATTCACAGTAGTACTCTTAACGTGTGGTGACGGATTAAGAATACAAATTGTCACCACCCCAATTCATCCCATGGGTGTCGTAAGAGCCGACTAAAGGAGCAAACTACGCAGGATAACAGCACTGCAAAGAGAAGGAAAACTTGAAACAAAGCCTATACCAACCCGTCTGGCCAGCGTGGTATAGTAGGCCAAAACCTCCTTTCTAAGGAGAGGTCTATGTCCAGCAGTGGACTAGTATAGGCTGTTGATGAGTACTCTTAAGCAGCTAATGCTCATTATTATTGTTTTCTATACTAATTGGCTAGAAGGCTGTTTGGCTACATAAATGTGGCCTTGACCTACTCCGGCTATTGCTCCATGTTTCCATTTCGTTTTCTTCCAGTGACTTTCCAATTCTAATTACCAACTATTCTCTATAAATATACCTTTCAAAATGCAAAATGGGGGTGTCTGATACGTCTTTCCGCACCCCTTCGGGGTTACAGGCGTGGATTTGATGATAAACATACGTAGGTATAAGTATATCATCTACATATTGTAGATAAATTACATCCAGAAGCAGAACAAATGATCAAGTTCATCACACAATGTTTGTCCTATGTTGTAATCGAACCCACGACCTCTGGCTTGGCTGTCAACATCACTAACTAGGTACTATTGTACACCAACCCGCACGTCAGCTATTAGAACAATCGAACATAGTACCCACTCTGTGTTTGGCTATTTTCGCTATTTAAAGCTAGCTTGTCTTTGAAAAGACATACAACGTGATGCGATATTTAGACATGTACTTACATGTTATCAATGTCTTAAAACTAGTGCAAGCAAGAATTTAAAAATCTCGGAGACACTTATCATTCAAGGTTTGTCCAACTAACAATTTTTCAACACGGTATAACTAGGGATTTTGCGAAAGAATATTTACCTACCTATATATCAACCTAAAACATTATTTGTGTTAAGACTGTTTACCCATAACCTAGTAGGTAGATACGAGTAGGTACCTACTTGCATTTATGTCAGAACATATTTTTTCGCGTAGGTTAAAAACAAATAGCACTTTTATTTTATGAGCAGAATCGAGTGAAAATGACACCGAAGTCGTGTGATATCGATAGCTACGTAAAGTTGTACTCGTTATTGTCTTGGTGGATAAAAAATGAAGTAGGAACAAATTTTATTCTATGTTACGTTCTTTTTAGTAAAGAAAATGTTTTTTTATAGATCTATTATCCTCAAAAGCTTATAAACTTACATACTATGCATGTGTGTCCGCGGTTGTATATTATTGTGATTTCGCATTATTGAATTCGACAAAATATACCGTCATATGTCGTATGTCAAGAGTGGAGAAGCCATATAGCGTATGAATAATTTAAGAATGACCTTACTTAAGTAAATCTATATTTGATAATTAGGTATCATGTGTGGAAAGTTTACGGTGGCTTTACGTAACAAGAAACTCACCGGGATTATGGGAACAGAAAATTGTAAACCATGGATAAATTCAAAATCTCGATGAATATAAAAAAATACTTCTTTAAACAGACTTTTGCTTTTCGAGAACAAAAAAAAAATACAATTTTTATACTTAGCACTTATTAGGTTAGGCATTTTACTGACATTCAGGAATTTGACTGATATTTACTGAAACTGAATACATAAACAGCCTTTAATAGTTCACTGCTGGACAAGGGCCTCTCCTTAAAAAAGAGGTTTTGGCCTACTATACCACGCTGGCCAGACGGGTTGGTATAGGGTTTGTTTCAAGTTTTCCTTCTGTCTGCAGTGCTGTTGTCCTGCGTAGTTTGCTTCCTTAGTCGCCTCTTACGACACCCACGGGATGAATAGGGGTGGTAACACTCTGTATTCTTAATCCGTCACCACATTGAAACTAATTAAAATGTGGAAATAATCACCGGAAACAAAAAACATCCTTAATTTAAAAATATTCTTTGCTCGTTCGTATTTATAAAAGTTGCATTGAGAACGTGAAGACAGAGTAGAAGTAGAAGGAATTGATGATGAAGAATAGACTTAATCTATGGGACACCGGGACGTATGGCAGCCCTATTCAAAGACTATTATTATAAGATCCCGAACGAGCAACCATAACATTTTTACGGGACCAAGTTTTCTACGGGATGTGAGTGTCATATACGTGGGAGGAGAGAAACAATTAGCAATTGACTTAGCAACTTGACTGCACGGATGGCGTAGTGGTTTAAGCGGTCGCCACGCCGCTTCCTACTACGCCGAGTGTTGTGGGTTCAAACCCCACATGGGACGACACTTTGTGTGATCCACAAATTGTTGTTCTGAGACAGGGTGTTCTTTGTGTCCGTTTCATGTATGTTTGTAAAGTCCCCCGCGACACAGGATTTATTCCTAATGCGGGAGTTGTCTTTTTTAAATAAAAAAAAAAAAAAAAAACTATTGAGCAAGGAGTAAGACAGGGGTGCCCTCAGTCACCATATCATATTAATATTACATAAGGAAATAGTAGAAACAGGTAAAGGAGGCGTTGAATTTAATGGGGAGACCATACGCTTTATCAGATTTGCAGATGATATCGCAGCAATATCCGACAGCACAAACAATTTAGAACAACTTCTAACAGTAATAAATAAAACTTTTAAAGATTTTGGTTTAAATATAAACTTAAATAAAACTAAAATTCTAATTATCTCAAAATTTTCATCTTTAACTACTCCTATTAAAATTAATGATGTTCAAATAGAACAAGTAGAAAACTTCAAATATTTAGGTAGCCGAATACGCAAGATTCTAAATGTTCCCCAGACATAGTAGAGAAATTCGTAATCGCCACCATGGAATACTGTTCTCATCTCAGAGATGTGACATCTCAGGGGAACCTCAGTACCAGCTTCTCCCTCTGGACCGCATCCAACGAAGAGCGACTCGAATCGTCGATAGCCCAAATATCTCCGATCGGCTCGATCACTTGCCGTTAAGTAGAAATGTGGTTTCACTCTTCATTCTCTATCGCATATATCATGGACGGACTAATACCAGCCGCAAATTTCCGCTATCGTTCCACACGGCAAAATTTTCATCCTCATGACCTGGATAGTTCTCGCTCCACTACTGTGCGCTTTTCAAGACAGACTAAAAGGTCGGCAACGCGTTTGTGACTCCTGAGTTGCAGACGTTCATGGGCGGCGATGGTAACTTTCCATCAGGTGATCCGTCTGTTCGTCTGCCCCCTCTGACATAAAAAAGTCGTCATTTTTATCGTTGGTTTCGTAATCATTTTCGAAAGACATTCTAG